GTCGTAAAGATAATAATTCTTTATATAAATGATAACCATTCGTAAATGAAGACTTTTTAATATTAATATTAATATTATAGTCCGCTGTGACAAGGTTTGAATATAATAATAACGGATTTTTGGAAAAAATTTCTAAACCCAAACTATCTTCTAAACCAAGATTGTGTATATTTTAAATTTTTTAATTGGTAAAGAATATTATAGCCGAAACTGCTTTTGAAAAAAAGGTAGTTTCGTCCAATACATATAATAAGTATCTAAATCAATCTACTTTATTTTAAAAACTCTCAATTTCGACCATTAAAATCAGTTTTGTCAAAGTTTAGGCCAATTAATTTCGGCAATTTCGGCCCACTAAGCGTAGTTTCGGTCACCATACTAGTTCGAATCGAGCTGATTCGAATCAAATTATATATTCGTATCAGTTCAAATCAAATTGAATCGAATCAAATTATATATGTTTAATATTCGAATCAGTTCGAATTGAATCAGAGTACAATTCGAATTTCATTGATTCGTTCGGAGCTTTATTTATTAGTTGTCGAAATTATATCCAAAATTATTTGAACACTTCAACTCAATAACTGAAATTCTGGATAACCTTTTAATGTCTATGGATATAAAGAATACTGTAAATCTGAAATTGCTTATTGAAATTGATTTTTTTCAAAACCATTTCAGCTAACATCTTTAATCTACTCTTTGAGATGATCTGATCATTGAAGATTTCATTGAAAAGAAGATGCTCAAAAAATAGCATGTTAAGATCTTCAGCTTCTTGATGTGTGCCTACATTTTGACTAGATGATTTATTTGTTTCTTTGTGACAGGTTTCTCATCCTCACCTCTTGAAGAATCTGATAAAAGTTGATGTTGTTTATTTGCCTCTAAAATAGAGGGAGGAATTTTTTCAGGCTGGCAGGTTGAAAACATAGGAAGGGTGAACTGGGTGCAGCTGGGCCAAATCCCCATGACCAACATTGGTACACCTCCAAAAATGTAAACCCAGAAGAAGGTATTGCTGATGAAGGTGAACAGATCATTGTTCACCATAGATATTTCATTTATTATAATGGTATTGATTTTCTGTAGCTCAGTCTCATGTGCACTGTTTGAAGTAATAAATGTTTTTTTATATCTTCCCTCCCAGTACTTACCTCACTTTCAAGGATGAGTGCATGGTCTTTCCAACCAATGTTCTGGGTAGTGATGCCAGCAGGAGCTATCAACAGGTATTCTTTCTTTTAGACTAATGATTTAAAGGGCTTTCCGAACCTGTCAAAAAGAGGTAGAGATATTTTCCATCTGATGATTTTCCCCAAGTATTGCACAGGGTGCCATAACACTATATTGCTCATTCTGAAGCGATTATATCAAGTGAAAGGTGATGTAATGCCAGTTGGTGAAACATGATATCAGATAGATCTTGATTCTCAAGCTCAGGTAAGAGTGATCCTAAGATTGTCACATATGCCTCTGGAATGGTGTTCTTTTTTTTAGGTGGCTATTTTTAAGTGAATTTATTGCTTTATTGTGTCTTAGAGGGGATTTTTCTCAATATGTGATAAAACATCCTAGCAAGTCTTAATCTGATCTTGCTGTACCTCCATCACAAGTTATTGAAAGAAAAAAGCTTAATGTGTATTTAGTGAAATGTAAAAGAATAGGTGGCATTCACTGGGCAGCTACCCCACCTTTTCTTAACCCGCATTACTTTTTTTGCTGCTGTAAATTACAAAGAAAAATTGGCCACAAAATTAAGATACAAATCTTACAAACAAAAGAACTGAAATGCAAAAAAGTTACAACTTAGAAAAGAGAAAATTGAGAAAATGCTCCCAGAAGATGTTTGGAATTTTGATTAGCAAGAAAAAAAGGGTGGAAATTAGAACAGGCTTGTCATAAAATTATGGAGGAACATATTTGTTCTAAACAAACTAATCAGCAAGAATTTCAGGGTAATAAACAGCGAATATGAATAGAAAAAAATATATTTTGCTTTTCTCGGACAGTTTTTAACAGACTTGGCTCAATTCTATTAATGATATTGAAACCAAATGAAAAAGAAATAAAAGAAAACAAAGGAGAGAAGATGAATAGAATAATTGAAACTATTGAAAAAGAAAAATAGTAAAATTATACCACAGGAATGCAATAGAAGAATTAGAAAAGGAGGAAAAAATGACCCAGGGTTAAAGATTTTTCTCAGGTTAACTTACTAACTGGGGAAGAACACAACCAAGAATTAGACCAGTTAAAAAACCAAATTAATTTAATTAACATGGTCACAAAAACCCAGAGTTTATAGAAAGAAAAATTAAAGATTTACAATAATCAGAACAAAGAACTGATTGAAAAAGGAGAATTTCCCATCATCTGTTTTAAAAATATTGAAAAAACCAAGCCTTGGAAGAAGCTTTATTACCAGTTTTTGATTCCCAACAAAACACTAAATTATTTAATAAAAAAGTGGTTCATCAAAATTCATTTTAATTGCTACTATACTACCCACGAGACTGAAAAATTATTAGACCCTTTGCTTTCTCATTTAGATTGGGTTAATGCAGACACTGCTCAACCAAAAAAAAAATTTCTTTAGATAATTTTATTAGTCTTGTTACTGGTTCCAAAAAAAAGTAATAGTAAATGTGCATTCAAAACAAAGGTAATTTGAAATCAGTGATGTTAAAAATTTTGAACCCTGAAGTCCTTGGTAATACAGATGTTCACTTTGTCTGATTTCGTTGCATATATATATGTATATAAATAACACATCATCAACTTCCTTGGATGTTCTATTAGACATCTACGTTAAACGTTGGAAGCATAGATGGTTGAGGAGTATTATGGTCTACTTAAAACAAAATCAAATAATTTACCAGTCCTTGAATATCATGTAGTGCACAAAAAAATTGATAAAGCATTTTACATATATGTTATTGGAATAGTCTTTTATACTTTTCTAATAACTAAATTACTCCCTATTTTAGAAATATACTACATAACATTCATATTTAAAAATTTTGACAGAGAAAAATGAAAATTTTATTTACAATTGATTTTTTATTAAAAACATTTGTTATTTGTTATTGATTCTTATCATAAATCTATATATTTATATTTATATGTATATGTATAGTTGAAAGTTTTTTAACTAGAAAATAAATTTTGATATTTATGAGCTAATAAAACCATATCATCATAATTCTTTAAATCTAAAAATATAAAACAATTACAATATTAACGTTATTATTATTATTATTATTATTATTATTATTATTATTATTATTATTATTATTATTATTATTATTATTCTTCTTCTTCTTATTATTATTATTATTATTATTATTATTCTTACCGAAATTATCATTACTAAATTCACGGAAAGTTGTTTCTTGTAAAACTTGTTCACTGTTCAATACTCCAGTAATTTCAACATATTTGCTATTATAATTATTACCCTAATATCACAATAATTCATATATTTTTTTAATTATTTATTTTTAATTTTATTTATTTTTCATTTTTGTCTTTACCTTAAGCGTTATAACTTGAATTTCACCACCATCACTAGTTTCGATTGTAACTGAATTGTTGGCTTTCTATTGAGTGAATAATTTTTTTATTTTACTGTATTAAAAAAAATGTCAAAAAATAGAACATTAAAACTTTACAAACTTTAGAAACGCGTCCTACTAAACAAACAGTACGACCAATATATTGAGAACTGTTAGAAAAGTTAATCCTTGGTCCAGTGTTATTCATTTTTAAAATTTTTTTCAAATCAAAAAGTTGGGATAAATTTTATTCGTGTGTCATTATCAAGATCTGCATCCTAATATTTTTATATAAAATAAGGACTAAAATCTCATCTAAAATAGGAAAATATTACTTTTTCATGATTAGCCGCGTGATATAACAAAGTATTTTGATTTATTAATTTAATTGTTTGTTTTTATATTACACATATTAAGAAATTATAAAAAATAGTAGCATTTCTCTCTATTTATGTATATGTATATATATATATATATACATATACATTTTTTAAAAAATATATCATCAATCTTTATTTTTAATGGCCTTTTTTCTACGATCTTCCAAGTCAACATTGGCAAGGTTTCGACTAGCACCAATTAATTGAATAATATTAATTATTTGTTTTGTAACACATACAGGAAATGAAGCCATGGTTAAAAGATAGATGGCAAAGGTTAAATTTGAATCTAATAAAGGAAAAAATATAAAATAGAAACCCATTCGTTAAATATATATATATTATTTTACTATTAAAAAAATAGAGAGTATTTAGAAACTTACTAGATATTTTTGATAATAAATATAATGAAACAAAAAATGATTCATTTAATGCACATACAAAAAACAGAAATTTCTATTTATATAAAATTTATAAATTTATACTTGTTAATAACTCAATAATTAATATTATTAATCGATCATTGTCAACTCACGTTATTAGAATAATAAAGACGTAAGATACGATTTGAAGACTTTGAAACTTCTTTGTGACTTGAAAACCCAGTCATTATTGAACTAACATGCATGTAATAATATATAGAATTATAAGTAATAGATCTATCAATTAACACTTATCAAGGACATGATTCACTACTAACCTGTACATCTGCATGTAATGGCTACTTAAGTCCAAAGATATCAAAAGTTGAAATACAATTGTCCAATATGGATAAATAAATGCAAGATAGCATAGTAAACATGTTGTTGTAGATCTATAAAATGGTTTTTTTATTTTATGTTGAATTATTTTTCTCTTCTCACTCATTCGATAATAAATAATTCTAGTATTATTATTATTATTATTATTATTAACCTATCTGTCACCATGTCTAATGCTGCTCCAAATTTACTACCTAAGTATATTTTTTATCATCAAAATTAGGGTTTTTCATATTAGAATGAGTAAGTGAGTGAGTGAGTGAGTGAGTAAAGCAAGCTAACAAATTAATCAATTAAAAGTTTTGTATATGAATAATAACTATAACAATAATAATTTATTATCACACATTACATTGATTATAATATCTAGCAAAATGCCCATCTAATGCATCCAATAGACATGAAATTATATAAAATCCCATACATTTCCATGGCTCGAATGGCATATAATACAATGAAGCTAAAGCGAGTAGGATTCGAGTGTAACCTAGTTTCCATAAATTAAAATTTAGAGAAATTAATAAATAATATACGCACATAGTATATATATATATATAATATATCATTATTTTTACAAAAAGTCCAAGAAAAATCTATATTAAATGATTTCTTTTTCTTCAATAATAGATCGTACCTATAAGATTTGGGACAAATAAAAATACATTTTCATTTTGTATATAACTTAAATTCTTTTCAGATTGATTTTGTGATTGTGCTGGTGGCTTATGTTTATTTGCTTTATTTGCCATGAAATTTTTTAATAAATTATATGTTTAAAAAATAATTTACAATTTTTTTTTTTTAAATCTTAGATCTATAAATGAAAAAAATTTTTTTTTTGTTGAAAATTTTAAATTTTAAATTTTTTAATATTAATATTCATTCACTTTCATTTATCGTGGCCAATTAGAAACGGAGGCGATCTAAATTTAGAAATTTTTTTCTTTTCGCGTGTAATTAATTTTGTGTATTAAGTTTCTGGGGTGATAATTATCCGCCTTGACATACAATTTTTTTGCTGAGACCCGTGTATTCAAATTATTCGCTTATTATTATTATTAAATTACATCGAATAAAACTAATACTAATAATCCAATAAAACGAATAAAACGCTAATCCAATCCAGTTAAAAATATCAATTTATTTTTCCTTCGTAGTCCTTGTATATAGTGGATAACAATAACAATGATAATAAATAGTATTAGCAGAGGTAATTGTCATTTTTCTTAAGTCATAGTAATATAGATTATAAATTTAATTATTGTATATTATCTAAGGAAATAAGACCTTATTTATAAATTTACAAATTAAAATCCTTTAACAATAACATAGAATTTGTTGCATAAAGCCATGAATTAATATTTTATAAAATTAAATTTGATTTGTATTACGAATAGAAACTCTGCCCGTATGCTTAATTTATCGTGTGCAACGCACAAAATAATTTCAGGGTTCAAAGTATTGAAGTTTGCTAAATGCCATAATGATATCTGCTTATAAATGATAAATAGTATTACTCCTATATAAAAATAATTAATTTATGTAAAATTCTGTACTATTAGAAACATTTTGAAAAAAGAACAAGGGTGAAAATTGGCTCTTATGCTTTTCAAAATAAATAATATCAGATTATTTATCTGAGGAAAAGAAATTATCTATGAAGCTTGCCAAGAAGAAAGAAAAATAATAACACTCGAAAAAGAAATCAGGATGAAAGTGAATAATTAAGTATCTAATTAATTGGAGACTTTTTCAAGTAATGATAATAAAGTTATGCATAACCAAATAGACTTACCATCGACTCTTTCTTCTCTCTTCTTTTCCACTATAGTTACGATTTAGTCCAAACCATTTGAATTGTAAATTAAACCACAGTTAGTAATTTTCATTAAATTTACAGTATCACCTGACTTCAATTTAATTTTTTAAAGTTCAAACAAAAAGTTTGGTTCCTAAGGAAGGTTAGTGCTATAGCTTAAACCGAATATTAAAATTAATACTCGAACTAGCCGGAAGGAGCAAACGGTGAACAGTCGACTCAAATGAATAAATTGGCTTTTTTATGGATATTTTGTAATAAACAGTGTAACAGTACTACGACGCGATAAATTTTTTACAGATCCAATTTAGAAATCATCATTATGATCTATACTAAATTTAGTTGAAATTTTCGTGGTGTGAGCATATATTAAATATTAAATATTAATATAGTAAAAATAAGATTGGGAAAACTCTACTGAATGTCATAATCACCGCCAAATTAACCACCTGCCTGATCAATATCAACGCGAACCTCGGAAGTCGATTGGTGGATTTTTCTGTTTAAGAAATAATTAACAAAAAATGAGCTAGCTAGATTTTTTTTCTTTCGAATCGTAGTGTTGGCGGTGTGAGAGGTTCCTGGTCCTGTAAAAATACATGTATTAAAAGGAATAGAACCGGAATTGTACCTAAAATTTTCAAAATGGGCTTATCCAGAATCTTATTGGCTAATTGAAATGATATCAACAATACCGCATGTGTGTATATTAATATTGATTTACCCAAAAGGTATATAGTTTAATTCTCTCAAGGATCACATGTAAAAATTGATGGATCCCGCACTATATACTGTATAAATTAAGTATATTTTCTGTCCCTTTTAATAATATTTTTGAATGTTTAATAATTGACTTTTTGAATTAAAAATATCATGTTCATATTCATTGTTGATCCATGAAATAATATTAAAATATCTTTTCTCTTTGTAGTCAAAACATCATTACGAATCTATATAATTATTTTTCCCAATAATTAAATAATTAAATAATGAAAAAATGGCATCACTACAAAATTTTAATCAAATCTAGTTTAGAAGTTTTGTAATAATGATAATAAAAAAAGAATAGTTTAGGCTTAAGAATACGGGAATAGGAATAGGAATAGCATAGGAAATATATTTAAAATCATTTGAATGTAAAATTTTACATACAGGAAATTATTCAAATAATATAAAAAGGCGAAAATAACGTCACACCGCTTTATAACAATTTCTTATGCAGTATTCCTAAATGGAGAGTAGGCATCATTTACCATCTTCCTCTTCTACTATAATAACCTCTACCTCTACGATTGATCGGAGGTGATACATTATTTGAATGTTGCTGATGGTTAGAAGCGCTGCTGCTACTATTACTACTAGTGCTCTGTGAAGTTTCAGCCTTAGTATTATTATTATCGTTGTCTTTGTTGCTATTTTCTTGAGATGTAACAGAAGTTTTCGCTGTAGACGACGATACAGGCGAAGAAGACGCAGTAGCAGAATCAGTGGTAGCATTAGATGTATTTGTAGCAGATGTTTGTTGTTGAGATTGAGGTTTGGTTAATATTTGTATTTGACCGTGATGTGGTTTATTATCAAAGCTATAATTTCTTCTTTTATCACGTCTATTACGATGTGATGAATATGGAGAATTTGAATAACTTGTAGTGGATGATCGTGTCGATGAATTAATTGTTGCTGTTGAGGTTGTTGCCGAAGTTATTTCCTTGTTAGGCACTTCATTCTTCTTTGTTTCACTGGTATTTTCTTTAACTTCAAAATTATTATTATTATTGTCAAAAGAATTATTCGGTTCTTTAGTTTCGATTGTAGATTCTTTATCTTCTTTTTTTACTGGTCTTTGTATAATTTGTCTTATTTGATCTTTTTGACGTTGTTGAATTGTTATCTTTACAGCTGAATTTCTTATGGGTTCCTTTTCTTTTGATTCGTTGGTTTCAGCTTTAGGTTTAGTAGTAGCATCATCACCTACCTTATCAATTTTTTGATCTGAATTATTATTATCTTTAACAATTTCTTTATTTTTTTCATCTCTCCCTTCCTTCTCCTTCTCCTTCTCTTTCTCCCTCTCCCTCTCCCTTTCTCTTACTCTTACCCTTTCCCTTTCCCTTTCCCTATCCCTTTCCCTTTCCCTATCCCTTCTTTCCCTATCCCTTTCTCTAATTCTTCTATCTTTCTCTCTAAATCTCTCACGTTCCCGTTCCCTCTCCCTCTCCCTCTCCCTTTCCCTCTCCCTATCCCTATCAATTTTTCTTTTATCGTGATCTTTCTTATTGGAATACTTTGAAGAGTTATTATTATTAGCAGCAGCAGCAGCAGCAGCAGCTTCAATTGCTTGAGCAGTTCTGGAAGGTTGAGCTGGTTTAACAACGGATTTAGACGTTGTTTGTGATGATGAAGGAGGATTGGCGGATGAAAGTATTGATGAAATTTTTGATGTTGATGATGTTATAGTTGTTAAGGATTTTGATTTAGTACCAGATTTTTGAGCACGTAAATATTCAATTAATGGAGTAGTTTTTGGCTTTTCAGGCGCATTCAATGCTGCATTAGCTAATAAACAAACAAACAAACAATGATAATAATGATAGATAGTAAAGGTATTGTGGTTGTTGTCGTTGTAGTTGTAGTTATGAGATGAGATATTAGCATGATGATTATTTTGTAATAGTTAAATTATTTTTTTTATTAGCTTATTAATATTATATACCTGCAGCACTAGCTAAACGATTTTCCAATCTTTCTAATTGAGTAGCACCGCCTTCCAAAGTGGCACTTGGTTCTTTGAATGCATTTTGTTGTGCCTCTTCCGCTTTTATAGCCTCAAGAAATGCAATATAATCAGGATCTGAATTTATGAATATTTAAATAAATATATATCTGCATATATGTAAATTTATCTATCAATCAAATGTATTTATTGATGTAGTTAATTGCCTGTTTCAATTGTTCCTTGCTTTGGATCAAATTTTTCTGTTTCTTTTGGTGATTTTTGGTAAATTGCAAACTCGACTACTGCTTTATTTTCATTTCCTATTTATTGGTTCTTTAGAAATTTAGAAATAAAATATAAAATTTTTTTAAAATAATATAGGAAGGAACCTTGTTTATCTCTAAATAAATGATTATCATAAACTCTATGAAATTCCAGTACTTGTTCAATATTTTTGAAATGTATATAAGCTCTTGAATAAATACATTCTTTATTTTTACTATAAAAAATAATTCATAAACAATAAATCTTTTTTTATGCATATTTTATTTAATAAATATTTTTTAATCGGTTTTTTAATAATTACTACTACACCTTTTACTAACTCGTCCTGGATAAAACTTGAAATGATCAGTTGTGTTTTCATTTACCCATTGTTTAACTGATTCCAAGAACTGACTTTCAGGCAACAAAGGTGGTAAACGTCTTATGACCACTTTATTTTTTGAAAGAGTTTTACTTCTTCCCGAACTTCTTGGTTTTGATTTCCTAGGTCTTGAAGACCTAGAATGTCTATTCATCATCATCATCATTTTTATCAAAATGAATAAAAATGAAAATAAAACGATGATCTTTTAATAGTCAGGATTTTTCCCAAATATGGAATTTCGGGATTTGTTCCAGAAGAGTCGACAATTTCGTTCCCGTAATATTTTGTTTTATTATTATCTTCTCACAGGAAAAAAACCAAAATGCACAAACCAAATAGTATACATTTTCTTCTACCAATTTTCACAATTTTATCATTTTTTGGTCCAGGCTATCAAACCATTTCAACATTCACAGGGTTATGGTTTACCTTATCAATTTATTATTTCCGTAACGTAACTTCAAACTGGTGGCTATTAGCGTATTATTTAATGAACAGTATTGGAGGAACATTTGCATTTTGGGGTTCTTACAATACCGAAGAGAGCCTTTGGGAGTTTATTACCCTTATTTATACAATGCTTCCTATATTGTTTGCGAATCTGATAATTTTGATTAGTTTAAGTGTAGATAGATGGTATGAAATTGGTTTCAAAGAGGAGAATAGCAATGATGGTTATGATGGTGGTGACGATAGTAATGCTAATGATGACAATGGTAGCAATAAAGGATGGATTAAATCATTAGTGTTTCCTTGTGTTTGGACAGGTATGATGATATTTGGTTTTTTTTATCTGATAATCAATTAAAATGATTTTGTTAAAATATACATTAATTTTATATATATTATTAATTTTAGGTGTTTGGAATTTGGTTGTTTTTACTTGGCCAGTTGGTGATTATTTTAATTATGCGTGAGTTTTATCAATTAATCTTTATTAAAAAAAATTTGGTAATAAAAATAAATATAATATTAAAAATATAAATTTCTTATTTAGACATGTATTGTTAGGAATTAATGAAATGATGCAATTTGCTTCATTTGCAGGATTAGGTGGGCTAAACTTCATTTTATCATGGGGAGGAAGTGTGGGTGCAGATTTGATCAAGAAGTATCTAGAAAATGATTTGATTGTTAGAATTCAAAAAGAATCATCATCACCACCATCACCAACAATTGATCCAAATAGACATGAAGATTTAGGAGATCAACAAAATGATGAAATAACAGTAACTGTAATTCCTCAAAATAAAAATAAAAATGACAATAAACCCTTCATATTCAAACCTCCAAAGTCATTATTGATCTACCTTTTGGCATTATTTATGATTATTACATATGGATCAATAAAACTTTCAACTTCTTGCATACCATTTTATCAACAAAATATTGAAAAATTTACACCATCTAAATTAACCAAGGTTGGGTGTGTCATCAAAGGAAATGACATTTTTGATGATAATCAATATTACATTGACAGAACCATAGAATTAGCAAGCAATAATAATGAATTGATTTTGTGGTCAGAGGCAGCAGGGCTTGTAACAAAACAGGAAGAATTGGATAATTTGATTGTGATAATGAAAAATATTTCAGTTTCTTACAGCACTACTATTGGGTTTACATTTCTTGATGAAATAATAAAAGACAGATCTTATAATAGGCTGATTGTTATAACACCAAGTGGAGAGGTGGCAATTGATTATAGGAAATCTCATTTGGTACCAATTTCAGAGTCGACACTTACAAGAGGAGAAAATCAATTGCAAACTTTTGAATCAGATAATTTTGGAGTGGTAGGAGCAGCTATTTGTTTTGATTATAATTTTCCTAGCCTAATTGGTCAGGCATCAACAAAAAATGTTGATTTTATGTTGGATTCTAGTTGGAATTGGGTATATTTATAATTATGTGTGTGTATGTTTTTCTCCAATTATAAATAATATCCTAATTATGTATTTCATTTTATATCTTGTTTAAATAGGGTGAGTAAATTTTTTCCTTGTACATAATCAGGTATATCCTCATTAATAATATTGCAATAAAAATATATAATAGGGCCATCAGGAATTTATCATCCTCGTATAAATGTTATTAGAACAATTGAAAATGGATTTACCATGATGAGATGTGACAGATATGGAATATCAGGTGTTTGGGATTCCAATGGACAAACTTATAATGCAGTACCAACATTAAGTAATTTAACAATATCATTTGATTTTCCAATCAAAAAACGCACCAAAACTGTTTATGGGGTATTTGGTGAAAGTTTGGGATATATCTGTTTAGTTTTGGCTTTAATCATAGTCAGTTTATTAGCATTTTTTAAATTTTCTAAACAAAAAAATATTAAAAAGAAAATCAAAAAATGGATCTAATTGTTATTGTATTTTAAATACTTATATTTTAAAAAAATTAAAATTAATACTTGTTATATAAAATAATAATAACATCTTTGAGAAATAACATGATTATCTGAAAGTTAACAACTCACATTTGAGCAATTTCTTGGCATTACCAGTGATTTTCAATTTATTATCCAGATTCTCTTCTCTAGCTACATGCCAATCATCGGTTCCATAGTAATAGTGGGTGGTTGAAGTTCAAATTAGCTAATCAGAATTTTGTGTCCAAACATTCTATCCAAAATTTGTTTTACATACAACAAATCTGATGTCATATTTATATTTTTATAGGAATAGTCCTATATATCATTTATGAAAAAACACACAACAATGGGACTGTTAATATTAAAATTACATCAGTGATTGGGTGTTATAAGTATAATTGTAATGTGATTAATATTTAAAAGTAATATATAGAACTCCTAATAGAGTGCATCATTGTGACTTGGGATTATTTAATTATCAAGTGACTTATACATGGGATCTATTAAAAAATGTATGTGGGCAAGTGGCTGTTGATGAATTTGATAAAAGACTATAGCTGGAATTCCTAGGTTTCCCAGGTTAAAGATATTTAGGCATGGTCTTGAAAATACAAAAAGATTTACTGCTGGTGAATTCTGTAATATGATGAAAGTATTAGTATTTGTTATAGATGGGCTCATTATAAAGTATCATAATACTTCAGATACTACAGTGAAAAGGCTTGATGAAGATTTTGCCAAAGCTCCTGATGAATATAAAAACAATATTACAAAAAATAAAGGAAATTATGATGATAAATCTGATTATGGATAGCAGGTATAACTTTTTTAGGTTTTATAATTACCATGATTAAAAGAATTAAAAAATAGATCAATATTGTTATTTTCCTTTTAAGGATTTTTGCTTTTTGTTGAATAATAGCACATCCTTATCCTGCCTTCTTTTTCTAATATTTCTTCTTGGTAAATTTCATAAGTAATCCTTTCTTAGATAAGTTTCCAGTGTCTGAATATCATTTATTTTTAAGATACAAGGAGCAATTTTTTCACCTTGTTCCTTTTTTAAAATACTTCTAATGATGCTATAATTTTTGGGTTCCATAGTAGATCTGATGTAAATTAGCTTCATATTATATATGGGGCATGCTGCAACAAAACCAGACAAAGTGAACATTGGTATTACCAAAGATTTCAGGGATCAAAATTTAG